TATATATATTTATGGAATGGACAAAGTCCGACAATTATTTTAAGACATTTTTATGTTTATACATTTTTTATAGATACAAATATTTAAAGTAAATGCTCTGTTTATAATAAAAAGTATTAAACAACATTTACCGGCCTGAATGTGAAAATTTCTCGGACATTCAGGCCGGTAAATGTTGTTTAATACAGTTTATTATAAACAGAGCATTTACTTAAATATTTGTATCAATAAAAAATGTATAAACATAAAAATGTCTTAATATATATATATATATATATATATATATATATATATATATATATATATATATATATATATGCACCTGTCCTAATGCAGAGGAATTATAACATATACAACAAATGGTGAGTAAGAAAGGGGAACCTTACTTGTAATATTTCCTGAAGGGAAAACTGTAATTACAGCAGTTTCTCTATGAATCTGTTTTGGCCATGTGGTTTTTCCTGTAAGACCTACTGCTGTGGGCTAGGGACGTCCTGTTTCTTTCTGGGCTCTACATCGTCACTCTGTCTTCTGACGTCATTCATTGGCCGTCACGTGACCCACATGACCATCTCAACGTAAGGGAGACCATCGCCGTTTATATCCGTACAATATGATTTTTTTTTTTGTTATCTATATAATTATGCGAAAATAATTACTGTTTGAATTTCTGGGATGAGGAGTTATCATTATTTACGCTATCTATATTCGTATTATTGTCTTCATTTTTGTTGTCATTATCACAATGTTTCGGCTTTCATCAGATGCTTGTTGATCTGGGTAACTTTCCAGGAATTGAACCCTTTCTTTAATCTTGTTACACATGTATATATCCTGCTTAATATGCATTAGATTTTCTATCGTTCTATATTTCTTACATCCCTGAAAATGATTTATGTATAAGGATATCTCAACTCCTTATTTAACACTGTTCAGTTATTACTTGCCCTCCACAGAGTCTAAATCTGCCCTACCCAGCACAGGGAGTGTAATCGTGATTACTATGTTACCAAATTCATGAATGAGACCTAGCTGCTAATCTAGTACCACACATAAATTTTAATACCTTAATCCACTTGTCTATTGTCCTGTGGGACAATCCTGAGTATAGAACTTGGATCCTTAAACCTAATGTGCTTGCTGACGAGAAAATGATTACTTGTGTTTGTGTTCCTAAATATCTAGAAAGCACCATGAAATTTCCATCAGATTTATTAAGACCAATTAAATTAAAAGTGTTTTCTTTTAAATTAAAACCTTTTTGTATAATTTTTTTTTATTAGTTTATGCTTGAATTTTTCAAATGAAGAATTATTATTACTGTTACTATTATTATTATTAAGGGTTTTGCATATTCATCTAGATTGTTACACTCACAGTGTATCGAATGTTGTAACCTCTGGTCTTCTTCAGATGTCTGTTGTACTCCATAACCATATTGGAATTCTGAACCAAACCTTTTATTCTATCTACAAAGATTGTTTTCATTCCACTTTACATGCTCAGAGGGTATGTTAGTCAATACTCCTTATTCACTTTTGGATTGTTTCTTCCATTGAACCCCAGTATAGGGTTAAAAAAAATATTTGAGATCCTGACAGATTTCATTTCAATTCCTTGGTCAGGTCATACTAAAAAAAACATATACTGCTGTATCTAAGTTAGTGCTTTTGTTATGGATCTAGAGATTCTTGAAAATGTCCAAAGAAGAACCTGAAATGTTATTGGTCTTGATCTGGCATTTCGGCTTCAATCACTTTCCCACTACTGTAGCGTCACTTCTGTGTCTTTTCTATATTTCCATGATATTTGTTCTGATAATCTTTCCTCTTTGGAACGTCATCTTCATGAATTTATGTGTTGTAATAGATTGGCAGCTAGGTATCATTATTTTATGGTTGAAGTTGCTAAATGTAACTATAAGTTTTATTTGAAATAGTTTCTTTTCTTACACCTCAAGCTGATGGAATTCTCTTCCAGCTTCTTCCTTTCCTGTCAATTACGATCTTGAAAAATTCAAATGCAACACTAATCAGCATTTTTGTCTACTCAATCCCTGTTCTTTTATTGTCCTTTCTCCACAATAATGATTTCTCAGTTTCTTACACTATCAGTAACCTCTTACATCTTAGCGGCTTTATTACCTTGCTTGGGGATAAATGATTAAAAAAAAAGCTTACTTGAAAATTGGAAAATCCAACACAAACCTTGGTTGAATTTAACAAAACTTGTACATATATATATATATATATATATATATATATATATATATCATCATCCACAGACAGACTGTTTCACAGCTCATCAGTGTAGCTAGACATTCGATTGCTTCAAGCTGGGATTGAAAGCCAACTGATTTGGTATCATTTGTAGATACTAACCCCCTAGGCTATCGACGCCCGGCAGAGAGTAAGGCAAACTTTTTCATATTTATTTTATCATAAACATGCTAGTGACCTAGAGAACTCAATCCAGTTTGGAGAGTATTGCATTATCAGCAGTAATAGTGACTGTTTACAAATTCTTGCTTTTATCCCCACAGTACTCGACTGAATTAATTATTTGTCAGGAGCTAATATTGTCATCCACAGACAGACTGTTTTGCTCTTTCACAGCTCATCAGTGTGGCTAGACATCCAATCAGAAGTTAACCGATTTGGTATCAGTCGGAGATTCTAACCCCTAGGCTATCGATGCCCAGCAAGGAGGAAGGCGAGTTTTTCCGTATTTATTTGAACATAAACATGTCAGTGACCTAGAAAACTCAGTCCAATTCAGAGTGTCTTGCAATATATATATATATATGGGTTAAATAGTAGAACAAATTGGATTCTCTAGCCATTTTTAGAAACCAATATAAAAGAAGGACAACTCTGTATTTAAAACTGTACAGTCCTTGTGAAGTGTATACTATGCAGCTATCTATAAGATCATTGGGTTCACAATGACTATAATCTTGACTGTTGCTGACCTACAATTGCATTGATGCATTATTATTATTACTACTACAACTACAACTACTACTACCAGTTTATTACTATAGAAATGCATTATAAATCATTTTACTATCTGTCTCTATTTCTGAGATGAGGTATTATGTACACTATTTACATTATTTGGACTATTGTCTTTATCTTTGTTGCCATATTTATCACAATGTTTCAGCTGTTGTATGCTCTGGCCTTCTTCAGGTGCTTGGAATGTCAAACTGAACCCTTTATTTTGCTCACTGGGGTAAACTCTTCTAGTTCCACGTGCCATGTCTAATGGATGCCATTTATCAGTTCTCTCCTGTTAATTCACCTCTCCAAGTTCTCCACTGCTTTAACCAGGTATTGAACTCACAACTCTTTGGGTCCTGTCACTGGATCTAATCAATGCCTTTATCCACTGTGCCAAATGAAGCAAAAGGGATTATCAGTGGTTAGGATTTAAGCATAGTGTCACTGAAAAAATAGTGTTGTTATATGTATAATTTTTTTTTTTTAAATTCAAAAATATTTTTTGAATCATTTCACCCCAATCAATGCAATAATGCCACTAGGACGCAAGGGGTTACTGGGAGTGAAAGAGAATGAGAAGACTTTAGTGAGGAGAAAGGACAATAAAAGAACAGAGTTAAGGAAGACTGAAGAGAGTGATTAGAATTGCATTTAAATTTTTGAAGTTTGTTGACGGCAGGAAATTAAGAAATCAGTAGGAAGTTTTAAAGGTGAGAAAAGAAACTCTTAGAATGGAACTGATGGTTGCATCGAGCTAGTGCAAGAGTAATTGCCAACTTAGTAGCATGCTTAAATTCATGAGGTTGAGGTACCAAGGAGAAGAGGTCATTAGGACAACTGCAGCCAAAATATATTTCTTTTTAGATTAAGGGAAGCCATGTCATGGCAGTGGAAAAGTGACTAAAATTGAAATGGCAGGTCAGGTCTGGTAACATTGCAGATCCTTTTTTGGATTTTGAATTTAATACGAAGAATATTATGAATATACACTGACTTGTTACCTTACAAAAAATTCAGTCAGTTATGTGCCATATGTGACAGACGCTTAGGCGATCATGTATCTTTCAATACATGACTGACAAGGCAGATTTTTTCTCCGCAATAAGTTACCATTTCTTTCTGCAGTAGACCAGTTGCCATCCAAGGCTATAGAACACGGTCTGTCCTGCTATTTACCCATAGCTGGGAGGAGGAGAAGATTTATACCTTTCCCAAGAGTATTAGCACGTAAGGGAATATAATGGATTCAACTGGAAAGTCAGTCAGTTATGTGCCATGCGTGATGCACACTTAGGCGATCATGTATCTTTCAATACATGACTGACAAGGCAGATTTTTTTCCCGCAGTAGATTGCCATTTCTTTCTGCGGTAAACCAGTTGCCATCCAAGGCTATAGAACCCCATCTGTCTAGCTATTTACCCATACCGGGGGGAGAAGAAGAGGATTCATACCTTTCAAAAGGGTATTAGCATGTAAGTGAATGTAATGGATTCAACTGGAATTTGAACATGGCTCTCCGATTTCTCAATCCAAGCCACTATCCATTACTCCACCATGCCCCCCTACAAAATATTACAAGATTTTAAGAGTGTGAGAAAAGTAACTGCATTAAAGAGCATTTTCATTGAAAAAGTATAAAAATAAAAAGTATGTTGCATGAATCACTGCCTGGAATTAAAGGGTATATAAAATTTTATATCTTTTCAGGAGAGAATATATGCTTTATCAAATTGAAATAAATTTATAATTTTTGAATCAAAATAAAATGTTTACTTGATGACAAATGCATTCTTTTCATTGCTTGTTGTGCTATAACTTTAATAATAATAAGATGACAGTTAATATAATAAATGAGATTCTTGTAAAATCTGCACTGCCAAAGTGGTATTAGCATGTGTTACTGACACACATGCACCAGATGCAAATATCCCAGCTCTTAGAACAAGGGTAACTCCACCCACTGCTAAGAATAACAAGCCTGTGGCTTCAAACTCACAAAATTGCAGAAAGAAAAGAAAAGAAAAGAAAGAAAAAGAAAAGAAAGAAAAAGAAAAGAAGGGAAAAGAAAAGAAAGGAAAAGAAAGGAAGGAAAAGAAAAGCAAAGAAAAGAAAGAAAAAAAGAAAAGAAAAGAAAAGAAAGAAAAAGAATCATATCTGAAAAATGTCTATTGTCAAAACATTACCTGAAACTCTATCCTCTGCAGGTTTATTGCACATAAATAATCATCAACACGTGTGGGACATAACTCCCAGTTTCTTTGTTACATGTTCATCAGATGGTAATTTTTACTTGAACCTGAAAGTTATTTTAACCAAGTTATGGCACCAAATGTGTTCAGAAATATCTAAACTGTCAACTGGATACAACTGCATTCTCAGACCAATAATTAAAAATGACTGAGTGAATGCAGGTCTTAGCAAGGACGGTCCTTCTTTGAATGCTGTGGAGTGACATTACAGAATCCCAAAGAACTTTACCAAATAACAAAAACCAAATCACTTGAAGACATTCAACAGCAGCAACAACTAAAATGGATAGCACATAGAACTGGAGAAAATGATGTCATAGTCATAATATTGATGTTCCACACAACTTCAAATAAAAGGTTAGTGTCAGTGACATACCCCAGGCAAGCTGAAATTCAGCACCCTTAGAAGTATAATTTTTTTTGGTTTTCACAAGGAGAAAAACTGAAAATGACTTTATTACAATATACAACTTAATATAAGCTAAAGAAAACGTTCATTATTCTACCTAAAACATATTTTTTAGCCTTTCAATCTGCAAATCTTTTCATGACACTTTCTATCTTCTTTACAAGATCATTTTCTATTGAAAATTAACCCTATCCTGAGTCTGACAATAAACTACATCTGGCAGCAAGGCCTCTGATCAGGAGGTTTTGAAGAATGTGAAACCACCTCTTAATTGCTGTTGTTCCCAGTTCCACCCTGATCCAGGGTGGTAGAACCTGTTAGGGTCCCAGCTGTGGCTAAATAGTTGACGCCCAAAGTGGGTTCAAAACACTATGAAAGTATAAATATTTTTACAGTAAATATACCAGCAATAAACTAAAACTAAAAAACTAAAACTTTAGTAAAAAATATCAACAATACATTTTTGTTTTATAAATTACTAATGCTCCCAAGAAAATTAAGTTTTGGCATTAAATGACCCATAAGGATGTTGATATGGCGCTAAACAAACTAACAAAATAGCCAAAGAATTTAACCTGTCTTGAGTCATGGATGAGCTCAAGTATGCTTTTATAAGCTTTAGTTTTAAAAGATATCAAACTCATGACATAGTGGTCTGATGGTGTCCTGGGTGACTTCCTCAGCTGCCAGTATATTGAGCCGGCCATGAATACTGATATATATATATATATATATATATATATATATTATTTTTCATAAGAATAAAAAATTGTATCAAAGACATGAATGCTACAGTAATATAATGCTCAATGTTAAGTATGTAAAAAGTAAACATATTCAACATAAAGTATATATTTTTTATAGGGTATATATATATATATATATATATATATATATATATATGTGTGTGTGTGGGGGGGTCCTGAGGATGACCAGAGAATGGTCAAAAGAGCAAGAATTGAATGAGAGGAATGATGGACAATTACTACATTGTCTTGAATTAACCATCTGTTCTAGAGAAACTGGCATTCTAACAATGAGACCTGAGTTCAAATCCCACAATAGTCAAACTGTCAAGGTAGGGGACATCAGCCTGGAGAGATGATCCCAGTGTGCAGCTCCTTTGGGAAGTACCTGAAAACCATACCACAGGTTGAACCAAGTCACATGAGGAAAATTGGGCAGAGAAAACTCTTTGAAAGCCATCAACAGTTGTTATAGTATGAAGTCACAAGTCATTGTGATCAAGGGCGTAAACGAACTGCATTTGTTCAACTGTTGGTTATGCAGATGATGCACTGCCTACCAAAAAACTGTAACTAAGTTCCACTCGGCATAATTTGTGGATAACATGACTTATTATCATGGAAAATTCAAATTCTGGCCTAGTCTGTTGTGAAAAGGGTACATTGAGCTTTTTAACTTTGGTTGGTATCCAATATAGGAAAAGGACACTTCTAAATCTGAAATCAAAATCATAGAGAAGAAGGCAAGGCATTTCACGCATAACAAAGAAAAGTATACTGTATATTCACCTCTGTCTATGTAGGACACCATTTATACAAATATATTTGAATTTGAAATGTAGCTTTCCAAAAATACCAGGATGTAAGCAACAAAATTGTGTCTAGCATAGATTCAGTGCTTGATAAGGACTGAGGCAATTGAAAATGCTAGAACTAAACATGAACTTTGGACAATTTATCTGCAATTTTGATATGGATGTACAACAGATTATTTGAAAATTAGGCAAAATTCACTTTAAATTAAATAGACAGACCTTCCTAGCTGAATTCAACAAAACTTGTTTAAATTAATCCTTGCTGCCTAAATATTATATATATATATATATATATATATATATATATATATATATATATATATACTAGTCAAATTACCTACACCTTGCTGCATGTGGCACATTTTTTTTTAAAAAAAATGATGATTGATTTTAAATCATTGTTATAATTTGTGGAGAAAAATAATGCATTTCAATATTATTCAAAAATCTTTCCGATGTGACCTCCATCTTCTGGATTTCTCCTATATTTTAGATAGGAGTCATTCCTTTGTTCAAATTTAAATCAAAGGGAAAAAAATTTCAGTGTGTGTGTGTGTGCGTGGTGGGGCCCAACCCTCACTGCCCCCCGGGACTCCCTTTGAACAAAATGAAATATACTTATCCAGGCACCCTAGAAGTCATTCCTTTGTTCAAAGTTAAACTTAATTTAAATTAAAGGGAAAAAAATTTCAGTGTGGGGTTGCAATAACAGCTTGATCTGACCCCTTTAATATGTATTTGATCAAATACTTGATTGAATGAATTGATGAGCAGATTTTGAACATTGATATGACAGTTGAATTGTTGCAACAAATATGTATTGTAAGGTACTGATTAGTGATTTCTTGCTCAACTTGACACCCATATTGTCTCATTTTGATTTTGTTGATGTGACCTCCCTCTTCGGGCTTTCTCCTTCTATATTTTGGATAGGAGTCATTCCCTTATTCAAATTTAAATCAAAGGGAAAAAAATTTATATGTGTGTGTGGTGGGGGAGTTGATTTGATCAAAATGAAATATACTTATCCAAATACTATAGGAGTCATTCTCTTGTTCAAATTTAAATTTAATTTATATCAAAAGCAAAAAAAAATTCTGTGGGGGATTTGTGAAAGGGGTCCCCTTTGATCAAAATGAAATATACTTATCCAAGTACCATGGGTAATGTAGTTTCAGAAAAATATATTGTTATGGGGGGTCTATCTCCAAAGCCCTATTAGGAGTTTGATAACAACCAGACAGACAGGGGCTACAACTTTATATATACAGATGTGAGTGTGTATATATGCAGATATACATGAAGGTTGGTTGATTTTTCACTTTTTTTAGAAAATCAACATGGCACTTAGTGTGAAAGCTAGAGTTTAATATTCTAAGTACTGACACCAAAAATTAGATTCATAGCTTTTACCACTTTTTGAGCATTTAGCTTTAAAGATCACCTGAAAAATGTTCTGAAATACCTAATTTCTGCAGGTATTTGATAACAAAAACTTTTACTATTTCAAGAATAAATCCAAATAAAGTTAATATCTTTGTATTAGATATATTGAATGGAAAATATATTCAAGCCAGAATTCTAATTATGAATCACCACAAGCAAAAGATGCAATTTTTTTTACTGTATTCGACAAGTAAAAATTGTAAAAGATTAAAAAAAAGGTTACTCAATGAATAAGAATTGTTAGATCATTTGTTAGATCATAATTGATAAAAAAAAGAAAGATAAATGTGTATATAACACCATAATACTGTTTGTTACAAATTATAAGACAAAATGTTTTAAATTTGCATTGTTTATTGAAAATCACACTAAAACTACTGCACTATATAATATATTACATACATTATAATATAACTAAATTGTTCAGAATAATTTCCCTTTGAAGTAAACGAAGGTCTTATTTGATGGCACAATGATTTAGTAGTAATGTGTTTGTGTTATGCATCTTGTCTGTATACAATTTGTAAAGCTTCAGTAAATTATAAATTTTATAAGGCTGTGCTATAAGGCTTTCACTGATCAGTGGAATGAAATTCCAACATTACAATTTTGAACCTATACTTAATATTTAATCACATTTCCTCAAAAAATGGTAATGATTTGGAAAAAAATGTTATTATTTAGCATCTGAAACCCCAACTTTAAAATTGAGTGCAATACCACGGTTCCAAAACTGACCCACACTAATATGCATGCATTATCTATAGAGTCTTTTGGATTATTTATCTTATTAATTTTCAATAAATTTTTGAACATTTAAATCAAAATTGATGGAAACATTATTAGTGATAACATTGAGTTGTTGATTATGAATAAAATCATCAAAAATACTTGAAAAAAAACATAACTTTGGACAGTTTATCTACAATTTTGATTTGGATGTGCAACAACCTATAGGGAAAATACAATAAAATTAAACAGACAGACCATGTCGGTTAAATTCAAACATGTTTAAATGAATTCATGCTGTTTAAATATCACACAGACAGACAGACACACACACATATATGTACAGGGTGCGATTGATAAATTGTCGTACAAAGTACACAAAAATGAAAATAACACTGACATCTCATTTTAACAGATATATTTACCAAAATTACACAAAAATACCTTGAAATACTAAAAAGTAAATTCATTCAATAAAATCGCCATTGGCTTCAACCATGATGTTCAGACAACTTCGACTCTTCTAGATGGTCTCATTGTTTAAGTTGGTGAATGCTGCCATAATCCTTGCCTTCAGTTCATTTTTGGTCTTACAAGCAGTTTTGTTGGTCTCTCACTCAACTGTGACCCACACATAGTAATCAAGGGGATTGCAGTCTGGGTAGTAAGGTGGCCAGATGTAAGGGGTGATGTGGTCACAGAAATTATCTGACAGCCATGATTGGGTTCTCCTGCTTGTGAGACATCGTGCAGAGCCC